ATTATCCTTGACTTGTTTCGGTGTGAGCTCGAGCAATTTAAAGCAAGCTTGTTTAGCAAAGAACAACATCATGGCATCCAAATCGCAGCATTTGAATACCTCCGCAATTGTAGTAGTGGCACGAAGTGCTAAATTCAAAATACGCAAGCGACGCTGACCACTAACCGATGTGTAGAGTAGAGCGATTTGTAAGTAAATATTCTCCTCGGGAGGCAATTTGTCATCATGCTTAATCTCAATAGCAATAGCCTTGTTGCAGTCTGTTATGGATTTAAAGAAGAATATTTTAAAAGATTTGTTAATATTAAGAATTTTGCCTACCTATGCTAGCCAATTCAACATCGGTTGTGTTTGTCATAAAGAAGTGACCATAGAAATCAGTTGGACGTATGCCGGCTGAAGTGCGCACGCGCATAACAGCATCAAAAGCAATTGGGCGTGACACGTTCTTGATGATGTCCTCAATCAAACGATTGCCATCCAGGTCAGCCTTTGCCAATAAATACAAGTAAATAGAAAAGGGGGGCATTTTTAATTTATTTTAACTCACTTGGAAGTAGGTGTACTTGTAGACCTCTCCGCCACTGAGTCGTGATACTTGACCCACCGTTGCAATATCAATATATGAATTATTAAATAAGAATAAATCAACCGACACTCCATTCTGTACACACTCCTGCCCCAATGCATTGTAAGAATTACACTGTGGCGTAAGCACAGTTTTCTCCTTTTCAGTACCAAGCAATTTACGATCATCACGATTCTTTAACTTTCCGCGTCCTTCACCAATTGGAAGTGTCGAATTGAAGACTAACAATTTTCCAGCACAATTGGAAGCTTTCAATGCTTCCAGACCGGCTTGTATAGCTGGATAGAACACGGTTTCGGTCTCTTTTGTATCGACAAACATTTTCGGTATTTGCTCCATTAGAGCATCGATTAAAGCATCGGATTCTTCAGGATGACAAAGGAAGCCGTCAAGTAGTGGCATAAACATGTCCTGTATGGTTAGATTAAAAATTACTTTAGATTTATTGTATGACATGTGGTAACTTGCCTGTACATCGCCAACCACCATCATTTGAGGTTGTGCCAAGCTACTCTTTATATTATAAAAGTGCACTGTACTGTTGTAGGTAATAAAACCGACACGCATTTTAGATTTCTCCTGCCCCTGATCAACGGATAGGTGTTTTAATATCTGCTTGACCTGCGAACAAAGTAAATGCACTAAACCCGATTTGATGGTGTTGTAAGAGACATCAATCACGAATACGAAAGCAGGTATTTCCGGGGGTGTGTTATTCTACAAGAAATATGAAAAATTGCTTACGATATATTTATTTTTTATGTAAAGAAAGTGAATACTTACGCGACAATAGTCCTTCGTTGCCAAAAACTCATAGGTACCCAATACTAATTCGGGACGTTCATACTTGTCTACACGTTGTCCTGTGTGATCCAAATGTTGGAAATATTCAGTTGGCACTGGAAAATAAAAAACATATAATTAAAATGCGTATAAAATTTGATTTCCGACATGCCTAACTATTAATATATAATACAATGAAACAAGTCGACAAGATCCAAGAGCAATTTTAATAACAGCAACGAAATATAAATACATTTTCTAGTACCATATTCCATTAATATAACACTCAAAATTTACCTTCTGTGGTTACTTTGCACATAAGACATTGGAAACGTCGTCCAGCATCTACAAACTGCATATTTGGTGACATGTATGCCTTGCAACGATTGCATCTAATTGGTCCCAATTCACCGAAGTTAACAATTGGGGGCTCATATTCACCCTCCACAGTACGTGCCATTGGTGAGACGAGCAGGGTAAATGGCAAAGCTGTAGTTTTCAATAAATCAGACGTAGCAGGGATGCAATACAAAGAGGATCTGTAGCAGATAAAAATTACATGAAAATTAAAATAAACACTCAAATAGACATTAGCTTCGCCATACCTGACATAACGTGGCGAGGAATTACCCTGATCCTGCACCACATATTTGGTAGTGACCAATGGCGGCAAAAGACCTGGCTGATTGGTGACAAAAGCGCCACCAGCATTACGCTGGTTTTCAATAATAACGCTTATTGGATTTGGCATCTGATCGGGATCGAGACGGCGCTGAGCCTGAGGATACTGTTGCGGCTGTTGATACATGTTACCCGGTGGTGCTGGTGGTTGCTGAAACGAAATATGTGTATACTTAGTGAAAGCATTTAAGAGATAATATTTTGCCAGCGTACATTAAAACCGGGACGTCCTGGCATTGGGGGCTGTCCGGGTTGTGTTGGTGGCATCATTTGCCCAGCATAGCCACCTTGCATAGGTGGTTGGGGAGGATAGCCGGGTTGTTGTGGTGGGAAACCCGGCTGCTGCGGTTGTGGCGGGTAACCAGTTTGTCCGGGCTGCGGGGGATAGCCAGGTTGTGGCGGCTGTGCAGGATAACCCGCTTGCTGTGGCTGCTGCTGCTGTTGCTGTGGTAGTGGCGGATAACCTAACGGTTGTGGTTGTGAAGGATAGCCAGGCATCGGTGGCATGCCCGGTTGAGGTGGCAGCGTTGCTGCCGCCGATGTAGGCGGCAAACCTGGTTGACCTGGTAATACAGCCGGTTGTGGTTGTGGCTGAGGGATGCCAGGTTGTGGAAGTTGACCTGGCCTAGGTGGTATTTGTTGTGCGCCCGGTGGCTGATATTGTGGCATAGCGCCAGCTGCTGAAGTTGGTGGCGCTGCAGAAACTGGTAGTTGGCCTGGTAATTGCGGGCCGGTCTGTAATTTAAAATTAGTGAATATATTTTGCTATACAAATATATACAATCTATTTTTCCTTACACTCGGTTTAGCTGGCGGCATGTGTGGCAATCCTGGTAAGCCTGCGCTGTTTACAGTCATCTGATTTGGTCCACCTGGTACAGATTGCATGGGTGGTGTCGCTGCATTTGGTGCTGGGGAATACATGGAAGGTGGCACCTGTGGCTGTGGCGTTTTTGAAGCTTGCCCGTTAGCATATGGCCCAGCAGGAATATTGTTATTATTGCTTGGCAATGGCTGTTGCGATTGCCCACCAGTTGGAGGTCCATTTGTCAATGGTGGTGCATCTGGAGCGCCAGCAATAGTGGGTGGCGCAGATATGGGCGCATCGGGTATGTTAGCGTTTGCATATGGCGTATTGTTTTGAGGAGGAACAGGTGTTTGTTGCTTTAAAGGGTTCATGGCGAGGCCACTCATTGAAGACGTTAACTGAAAAAAAGAACAAAAAGATTTTAAGTAATACACATGTATGTACCGGAAATGTTATATACAAATTTTTAAAAGCAGCTCTGCGTTATCACTAATAGTTGCGTTGACCTCAAAGTGTGCGTGATTGCACTTTCTTATCAATTAGCCAAGCAACTTTTTACAATATGAAATGCTGTTTAAATCTTTGTAAGCATACTTAAAACAAACCTGTTGTTGATAATTGCCATTTAGTACTCCTGGTTGATGTCCTTGTCCATAATTTTGTTGCGGTGGCTGTGTTCCGGGCACACCTCCCAATACGGATGCTCCGGATGTTGGTGGCATGCTGTTGGGTGGGTAGCCACCGCCACTCGACGCTCTCATTTGAGGTGGTACTCCACCTGGTTGCGTTGGCTGCTGTGGAGCCGACGGCCAGCCCGTTGCATATTGTGGTTGTTGTGGTGGTGCTCCGTAGACGTTCGGATTCATGTTTTTCTATTTTTTTAACTCTTTTCTAGCTTAATTGTTTTTGCCTTTGTTTGCCAAGTATACAAAACAAGAATGCGCGGAAGGTGGAGACGGTCGGTGCAGAAAACTGAACTTTCTACAGAAAGCACGGCACTATGTTGGTATGGGAAGTGTGTAAATTTGTTGCAATTACAGTTATGTTATATTGCAAAAAATATTTTAAAACCACAAGTACTCTAAAGTACAAGGTCTCAACTCGCGTTTTATGTAACTTTCAACTATTTTTCCACTATATAAACGCTAAAATTTCTTTCAAACCCGTCGAAGAAATTAAGAAAAAATCACTTCCACGTCAGAGCCAGTTGCCAGTTTGACGTTTGCCACGTAAACAGTGCTGCCAGCATGCACATACTCCAAGTGTAAGTTGGTGTATTTTTATAAAAATTTTAAATCATCTAGGAACCGTTTAGTTGGATGGAGTCAAAAGTATGTATTCATCAAAAATAAAAATAAAATAAATGTATAAAATGTTAGGTTTTGAGTAAAAGGCTTTTACCTAGTGGGAGTGAGGCGCTGCAGGGTAAATTGTTTACAAAAAATACTGCCAAGTGGCAGCTCGGCAAGTGGCAGGAAATTCCGATTCATTGGTGTGTGGTGTGTTCAGTGAAGGAAAACAAAGCGGGTGTAAATGCAAACGGTTCAGCTCAAATGATCAGATGAAAATTGACGAAAATGAAGAAAAAAATAATAATTTGCTTCTTCCATTGGCAAATTGTGGCAGCCGGAAAAGCCATGTGTGTTTGTATCGTGCAATGAGAACTGTTTTGTGCATCTAGTGCAAGTAAATTTGACATCCGATGCTTTTGCTGTTATCACATCTTCCTTTATGCTAAGGTTTCCGTTTCCTCTCCCCAGGTGTTTGACAGTTTGCGCGCGTGAATTTATTTGATGCTGTATGATTTGTGCTTTCATATCAAAGATTAATAATAAATCTGTTCGAAATAATTTTTATTCGAGCGTAGATATTACAATGTGCATAAATGAAATCTGTGTAGTGTTATATTATTTTTTAAAAGAGTGATACATATGTATGTATATCGCGAGAGTGTCAGTTTCGCAGCTATAGAACTGCAATTTTTGGACGAGGGCTATCGGAAAGCTCCAAGTGACTCTAGTAACAATGATGAGGAATTCCGTAAATAAAAGTGTTCTGATATTATTATCTACGATGCCGTATCTAAAAAGTGGTTTCACTTTCACATAAAAGCCTTCCCTCAAATCCACCTTCCCCATACAATTATTCAAACAAAATTTCTGTATATATCACTTGCCGTACTGTAATTGGTGCCAAAAAAGAAGCTTCGACGAAGGCCATTGAAAAATTGCAGTCCTGCAATGTGCTCAATTTCTCTAATATCGGCCAGGAAGTTGCGTATATTCGTACTGCTACTAATAGGTGCATTCGGCATTATGTACGCCTCCATATAGGGCGAACCGCCCGGTAGCTTTGATTCGACAGTGATAACCTTGAAAAAGTGCGTTGGCACCGCCACAGTATTCTCACCAATCACTTCATATTCCACACACCATTTGTCATCTACCTTTCCGCAATGCTCCGCATCAGTGACACCGCGCAGCTGATGTTTCGGCTTATAAATAGGACCGGTGCAAACATAAACGGAACCATAACGCTCAGTTAAATCACGTACATAAATTTCTAAATTATTCCATGCATCACGGTTGAAGCCCTTTCCGACTTGTGGTGCAATATTGGTCAAATAAAATGTCTCATTACAGTGTGTCTGATGGCATTTATGATTGCCAGCGGCTGCCAGATGGCCCCGATCAAATCGTGAATCCCTGTAATCTGTTAAATCAGCACGAAAATTCGAAGGCACACTCATATCGGCTTGATAGTAAGACTCGCGACGATGCGCGCCATTGCCATTGGATTTAACGCAGGGCGCACGCAAGTGTTCATAAACCCAATGGGCGACACGATTGCGACGATCGTAAGAGAGTATAAAATCCGAATAGACGCGTATGTCATCCAAGCCGGGAAAACCGTATTTCATGATCTGTGACATGCGTGAACTTGAGCCATCTAGTTGGTCCAAGCAGTATGGATTGAAAAGTTGCAACTGAGGGAAGGTATAGTACGTAGTATTAGTAAAATTATGAAGTGTGTATATGTGCGTAGTGCAGTGTCGTCCTGACAAACCGTGTCATATAATTTTTCGCGTATGTAGAAAGCATATGGATCCTCTTGTATGAGCCTGTGGACTTTGCTCAAGAAATCATGGTGTTGATAGTAGGCGCCCAATATGAAAAAGCTGCTACCGGTAAGTACCAAAAGCGTTAAATCTATACTAACTAATGGCATTTAGGCACTTTTTATCTGCTATTACTTAAAAAATTTAAAAATTTTGTAAATTTAAAATTTTTAAACGAGTTTTTTAATTTTGACAAATCGTGGAAAAATGCCAATATGGTTAATGTCATTGTAAAGTGTTGGACAACTGAATAATCCTGTGTGTTATATTAGTAATATTCATCAAAACTCATAAAACTATAAATGGGTAAATGTGTACTTTGACGCACGCCGCTATAGAAACGCAGCCGGATTTTCGGTGTTAATATTAGGTCCAATCCCGTATTCCTCGGACTAAAAGTAGTAGAACTGTTAAAAAATAAAAATCGCTCAGAGCGAGAGAGTAAAACTGAAATGTACGGGATCGCTACTAGTAAAAAATGTTAATTTCTGACTACATCAACATAACCTACAAATTTTGGTTGTAAATTTTTGCTTATTTTTTTATGTAACACAAGTTCTGTTCGTCGAGCAAAAAACTTCTACGAATTTGTACGAATTACCATGATTTTTGCACAAATCGCGTTCGTGCAGACCAAACAATTATCCATTATTCAAAAACTGAGATCGTAAAGTGATAGTTCTCTTGGAGAGAAGTTCTTGGTTCAAAAATTTTAGCCAGCAAGAATTTGCAATCACGGAAAATTTGATTCGAATAAATAAGTTGGTTAAATTTAAAAATTTATAAAAATGCGCGATTTTTTATGAAAAAAGGAAGTAAATACTTGTTTTTATAATTAATTTAGTTAATTCCAATGATTTTAACTATATTCGGCTGAGAAAAAATTGTATTGACAATCGGAACACAATTGCAACCAGAGTCGATTTAAGAAACCCGATAGCTAGTACGATAAAGAAATTGAAATATATGTTAAAGAAAGTCAGAACAACAAGAAATATACATGTGTACCTTGTTTTTTGTCCATCTGAAAGAATTTTAAAAATTCTATAAAAATTCATTATGTTTGAAATGCAACCGTGGACCCCAGCTGGCAGAGGAAACTTGCAAATTCCTGCAAATTTGCGTTAGTTTAACTTGCAATAGTTTAACTTGATTTTAAAGATTTCACTTGAATGCCACAACCAAGCCTACACTCGTACACTATTTATGTACATATGTACCTAAATATTATATGTATGTAAAAACATTCGGTCAACATAATCTTATCCTAATGTAATGTACTAACTAAAACTAAGCTTGTAGAAAACTTTTTTGAAAAAGCGAAAATGTCTTGCAGGCATAAAATGGAAAGCGGCCGTAACCACCAAAAAGGATATGAGCGCTAAATTCAGTAGAAAGATTTATATGAAGAGTTTTTTTTTCGTTTCATTCATGTTCAGCCCATGAAGTTCAAATTCAGGGTAAATTTTTTGCGAAAAACTTCGCATAGCGAAAAAGGAAATTACGAAAGTAAAAACGCGCCAAGCGTTGACAAGAAATTTATGAGTTATTGCAGAGAAGGGGGTGGAATGATGTAAAAGAAAATAAAATTAGAAATTTTATATTTATTTACTCAGTGGAAAATGTGTGACTTAAAAGCCAGAAGGATATTTCTACGGCAATCAGATTTGAGAACTACATAGGTTATATATATCGCCTGTTCTTGTATCAAGTGCACTTTGTTTAAGCTGCATCAGCTTGACACCATCCGCTGTTAGTCAGCCCTCTGTACCAATTGTATGCGTTCAGCCCTTATATACATATGTACATATGTATGTACAAGTACATAGGTATGTTTTTCGTAAGACAATTGCAAATTTTGGCAGTCTTTCAAATGACTGATTGAGAGATGTGATAACCAAAAGGTCTTAGCGTTATTTTGTCTGCCTTTGAGCAATAAATTTTCAAAAAACTTAGTCAAATAAAAAAAAATTATTTTTGTTTTGAAAACAATAAAAACTAAAAGAAAATTTAATAATAAAAAAAATTAAAAATTAAAAACAGAAATATATTAACAGAAAAAGTTTCTAAAGATTAAATTAAAGTTAAGAAAAAATATTTAAGAAAGTTAAAAAGGAAAAATTTAACAAAGGGAAAAACTAAATAAATTTCTAAAAATTAAATGAAACTAGAAAAATTAGTTTTCTTTTTAATAAAATAAAATCTAAAAACTAAGAGAAAATTTTATAAAAAAGGAAAAAAATAAAATATTTTACTAAAAATTGAATGAAACTAAAAAAAATATATATATTTTCCTTTCCTAAAAACAATAACACCTAAAAATTAAGGGAAATTAAAACAGGAAAATAAATTTCTGAATGTTAAATGAAACTAAAAAACATGTTTCTTCTTAAACTAACATAATCTAATAACAAAAAGAAGATTAATTAAAAAAAAGGAAGAAAGAAAATGAAAAAGCATCAAATTAGTTCATAAATATTAAATGGAATTAAAAAATATATAGGTATTTTTCTTTTCAAAAAAGAGTAAAATCTGAAAATTAAAAGAAAATTAAATTTAAATAAGAAAAAAAAAGTGGCTAAATATTAAATGAAAATCAAAAAATGTTTTTCTTTTTAACGCAATAAAATCTAAAAAAGTGGCTAAATATTAAATGAAATTCAAAAAAATATATTTTTTTTAAACAATGAAATCTAAAAATAAATACAAAATCAAATTAAATTAAAGTAAGAAAAAAATAAATTAAAGTAAGAAAATAATAATAAGTGGTTAAATATTAAATATTAAAAAATATTTTTTCTTTTTAAAATAAATGATTTTTTCATTTGAATTAAATATGGAAGCTGACAGAAAAATATAATTTTTCCCCTAATTTTTTGAAACCGACAGTAAAAGTTAAAAGAAAATTTAATTAAACTAAAATAAAAATATTTACATATATTTCTTTGATTAGCTGTTGCTCAAAAATATCCATCCGACACCTACTTTTAATTAATATCCAAAAAGAATTTCGCTACAAATATCGATTGATCAGTGTCATTGAGGACTTGTATTGGACTTATTGCTTTTGTTTCTGCGTCAACATTCGCCGCATATGACACGGCTGTGACATCTTTATGACTGCTTGCTGTTTGACATGAACCTATCGGCTCTTTTACCGTTACAAATGTACGAATATGTATATAAACATATTAGGGTGGTACAAAAAAAAAGTCGGAATTTTAATTCTCTCACCTCCTAGGATTGTTCTACATCGCAACAAATTATATGTACTCCGGTTGATTTTATTTTGAAATAAAAAAAAATAGTGTTTAGAAGTCGCTCAATGCACTTAAAGTTGTCGATGTATTTTATGTGGGAAAAAACAAGTTTTCGTAGAAATGACATGGAATTCTTGAACATCAATATTTTCCAATCGGAAAACTTTGTTTCTCTTCAGGACACTTTCAATAACAATACCCATTTTTTTATTTAACTATTTTTTATAGGGCCTCTAAAGATCTCAAAAATGATTCAAGAATTCTATACCAACGAAAACTTGTTTTCTAGCCACATAAAATACAAACAAACAAAGAACAAACCTAGGGGACGAGAGCATTAAAATTCCGACTTTTATTTTTTTTTTTTTACATGCATTTTTGGACCACCCTAATGTATATACATTCACTGCGTGCAATTCAATTTTTTCTCATGCAGGCATATGTATTGGCACAAATATGAAATTGCGTGTGTTAACTGGCGGTCAACTGACTTTTGCTGGATATTTCGAAAAAGTTTCAAATTTTTTTTGCTCTCCATCCGTGGGATGATAACTTGTTTAACAAGTGCACATAAGCGGCAAAACTCGTGTTTATGCATTCATGCGTGCGTAGATGTGTTGGCTTATTTTTTGTCACACGGGCATACAAGTGTTGTACTCTTACTTAAGGGCCAGTAGGAAATTTGAATGTAAGTGCGTATGCATGTACATAACGCTAATTTAATAAAATATTATCATAACTCCAAAAACGACACCTTTGAGTTAATATTTCCAGCTTATAAGCTTATATATACTGGGCATACATTATCTGTAATTAATACACGGTCAAAAATTTGGGTTTAATTTTTAAACCGCGCTAGGACTACTGGTTTTTTTAAATCTTTTATAGTCTACTTTTTAAGCCAGTCAATAGTTTTAAGCAATTTTTAATATATTCTGGTTTAAATTTTAGTCCAAAAAGTTCGTGGTTTAAAAATCAAACCAAAATATTTTAATTCTAGTTTCTAGGTTTCATATATAGATAATTTGGTTTAAAATCTAAACCGAAATAGAAAATGTTTGCACACAGCGAAATCTTCCTTTCGATTAATCGAGCGATTAACCGATTAATTTTGAAAATAATCGAAAAGAAATCATCAAAAATGGATTACTTTACTCACAAAGTAATGTATGAATCAAAATTCCAAATTGGCATTTTTACCACTCAATAATATTAGCAACAATAAAAGTGTCCACTCTACTCGATACATATATATGTATAATTTTACTAGTTGGGAAATTTTTTACATTCCCATATTCTGCAAATTTTTTAAACGATATTTTTGTAAAAAACCCCAACACAAGTTTAATCTAAGCAACAACTAAAAAATCACAACATACACATATTTTCATTTTATTTTCCAAATGCGGTATTGCGCATTTTTTCCATACGCGTTTTTTATATGGAAGAAAATAAGCATCACCGTCAATAAAAATGTCAAAAATCAACGTTAGGTGATAATTCAATCTTGCATTTTTTTATAAAAAAATTTAATGGGCTACAAAATTGCATACTGAAAATCTTTCTCATACATCTAATTAAAAAGCTCGAATTTTTCGCCCATTTGAATTTTTTTTTTATTGCACGAAGTTTGATATATTTATATTTATACGGCTTTTGTTAAAGCTAAAAGCTGTATTTAAAAAAAATAACTAAAATTAAAAAACAAAAAAAAAAAAAATCTTGTGATGCGCTTATAATTTTGTCATGGGGTGTATAACGGATTGCATACTAATTTACATCTTTTTATTTATTGTTTCCCTTAGCTTTTAGTTTTCTTAATTGTTTGCGCACTGAATTCATGGCGCAAG